TATAAGTCCCATATTATTATCTCTTTGCTGAAACACAGATGTTTTTGAGTGCTGTAATATTCGTACTTCACCTTAAAGCTGTCGTGACCCATCAACTGACGAATGCTTCAACAGAAGGACCATACAGCAAGACAAATAGCATGAATGAAATCCGAGTTCTCTGTTCAGAAGATCAATTTCTATTGAATTCTCTTTCAAGGACGTAGATTTTGTTGTAGGTGAGGATGAAAGGAACCTTTGTAAAATGGACTATCTGCGCACATCGTGCAGTCCCTGTGGATAGAACACCTGCTTTGAACTTCTTGCCTGGGTTCGGAAGCGGTCTCTTTCTGTATCACGGTTTACTAAGGTACCTTTTCCTGAAGATATCCGTCTTCTGGGTTATTTTCCTGCTTCTCTTGGTTTGTACACGTGATTTAAGCGTTAAGGAGTTATATAAAGTTGTTACAAATCTTCTATGTATTTCTTTTTATTATTTATCGTAAGGGAACACGTTATTGGTACGTTCTGCCCTTTCGTTTGTATGTTAAAATTTTCAGCCGATGTTCTACTGTCATCTGTCGTGGTCTTACAACTACACATTTAACAACATAATAACTTCAGAACGATTTAATGGAATTTAATTAAATTTGTTATGGACGTTTTGGTAATTGAGGGATATTCCACCCTCCATCTTTGAAATTTGACATTTATTTTACCAACGTGAGATACAGTTGCATGTTGTTGAAGCATATGGTACATATAGTTCTCACTGGGCTTTAAAGGGGTAAATAATTCAGTTAATATTTAAGCCTCCAAAATTATAAATCCATAAATATATATTAGCTGCCCATTTCTGTACAGATTCTAGCTATGTTATATTGGCCATATTTAACTTCAATTTTTCACACTGTAACCATGTTTGTGCCCGTAAATGCCCGTAAAAAAATATATCACATATACAATTTGTGTTTAAGAATTTAATTTCTTCTTAAAGAAAGAAATGAGGGTAATGGCTTTGGTTACTCACTCCTATAAAACAAATCATATTTGTCTTGCAGAAATGAATACGCTAATGACGCTTAAGAAAATAAGCACTTAGATTATTATCACCATTGGATGTCAGTTATCATTAAGACACTTACTTATCAGTCCATTCGAGCTATTTATTACATACACATATTTAATTTCGAAGTGTTTGAATCTCGGCTTCGTCTTGTGTAGTAGTTAGTCCCGTCACCAAAAATTACATGGTGCATACTTTCCCCGTTTTTATCCGAGGTGGTGCGAAACTCGCCAGTTTATGAACATCTGCTGCTGGCATTAATTTCGATTCGGTTCCAGTCCGTTCACAACTACCCTGAAAGGAACAGATTTTAGGGGTGAGAGGGTGGAATTCATTTGCAAGAACTGGTTTTCCAAACTATCGGTGGTTTATGAATATACATCCAAACGTGGGGGCGTAGGATTGGTTTACCACAGGTTTATATAGTTGGCTTGGCTTCATTCGTCTCTGCTTGTCAGCTGTTCGTCTCAGAGATGGGAATAAACAATTCTTGATGCGAGTCACAAGAAGCATGCAATGCTTAAACTAGCAATGTGCCGTCTTCCTGACAGAACACAGTGGATCCGCCTTCTCTAGCGGCATCTCGTATCCGTTTTGAAGCTTTTTGGATCAAATTTCTGGTATTGGTATAACTTCTGTTTTTAAGCTTGACTTGTGGGAAAGAAAATAGTGGAATATGTGTTAGGCAGTCAGTCAGTCTGTCAGTCTATATGTAGTAATTATAAGTCCTATAGCAAAGGAAATTGCTGTGGAGTGAACGACCTATGTTTAAATTCAGGCGGAAGTACTGGTATTTATAATCGTGTTCAGAACACTTCGGCGTCCTTCAGACATTCTACCCATTGGATATCACAGACGTCCGTGTATAGAAGTTGTCGGAGCTTATATTTGATCACACAACACTACCTAAGGCTGAAGTTAGAAATGCGTGTAGTTCTGCGTCTTCATGGCGTGAAAGAAAAGAATACAGGAGAGAAACTAATTCTCATCTCGTCACTACGTTACAGTAGGCCACGCCTAGTCACGCTTTGGCACGCGTGCTCACTATGTTAGTTTTCGACACGCTTACGTTATGTTACGTAAGGCTCGTTTAACTTTGGCAAATTTGCAATAAGTTAGATGATGTTACAAGTTAGAAGTGTTGGGTTAAGTTAGGTTAGGTTTCGTTAGGTTAGCTTGGGTTAGGTTAGGTTATGTTATGTTAGGTTAGGTTAGGTTAGGTTAGGTTA